TATGAAAAATATAAAAAACGATTCATGAACATTCCAGAAGGAAAACAGTATATTTAAAAAAAAAAACAATAGGTTATTTTGAATGGCAACTTGTTGTGCTTGGATAACTGAGTAAAAATGTGTACCCTCTTTGTCAACATCTAGGATAACTGTGGGATGAACCATGTTTGAAAATTGGATTTTAACAACTTCATATGTTAAAGCTAGAAATTTTTCAATCGTAAACCTTGCTGACGGGTTTTAATTACTCAATGCTTTTTTTTCGTTTTTAATTAAATGCTGACAATATTGCAACATGTGGCTGGCCACATTTCAATGCAAGTTTACCTAACGACAATTGACAGACATCAAAATAAACGGAGTAAAAAATTCAAAAAATTAATATCCGACCTGTGTATGCCCAGCTGCATGCCGCCTCTCTGTGTCATGATTTTTTGGCATTGCCACAGTGACATGTTGGCCAAAACGGCGGAAATATCAAACAATTGGACAGTGCTCAGTGCCCAGGCCGTCACCAGCAAACCATTGCAAATGCCGAGGAAAAACTCGAAACCGAGCTGCCGAGTTGACATTTTCCAAAGGGACAATTGCACATGGCAATGCGAATAGGGAAAAACAAGTGGTAATGCCCAGGCCCATTGTTTCGCCTAGAGAAACAGCTGCCAGAAACCGAACTGAATCCCTGGGCTGCCTTTGTTCTATAAACATTTTGCGCTGTTAAAATTCAACTTCCGCTCTGGTAATATTTTCTTTTCTTTCTTTTTTCCGATTTTTTTTCTCTTCTTTTTGCTTGACTTGATTTTAGTGCTGATTTATTTTGTATAGCTCGGCACGGCCTGCAGCCATATATTGAATATCAAATATGATTTTAAGACGCTGCCAGCAAAAAAAAAGTAAAAAATTGTTTTGAATTGAATTTTATGTCGCAGCAGCTTAGGCCCTGACGTCGACGTTGACGTTGACGCTGATTCTGATTCTGATTCTGACTTCGACTCTTGGGTTCTGCCTCTCGCTCTTTCATTTTTTACTGCACTTTACTTGGCGCAACAATAAATTGCCTTTTATATATACATTGAATCTGCGGCTGCATTATGTATGACTACCATGAGATAAACGAGTGTATATATACATATATATATAGTATGTATATGTATATATGTATATATTTTGTTTTATATATAAATTCTCTTTGTGGCTTTGCCATTTATGTTATTAATGCGGCGCATGCCTTGCGGCTGCCTTTGTCTGGGCCCAGGAACCTGTTTGCCCAGGAGGCTTTGCTGCCTATTTTTTTGTATGCCCTTTTAGAGGGTCTTATAATATTGCCAAGCGATTCGTAACGAATGTTGGGTATATGAGGCCTCATGATCTATTATATAAGGTAAGGTAGTTTCTAATTTTGTTCCACATTTGATGGTATATATCTATATATTGCGTATTAATATTGGGTTTCTTGCACAATATTGTAATATCATATATGCAGTTGACACCGATTTGATAAATCGAGGCCCATATAAGTTTGATTTTTACTTATAATAGTTTATAATTAAAGATCTATTTTGAAATATTACTCATGCAATATTTGTTATCGTTTTGGTATATTTGTAAATCGGAACACTTTAATATACACTCTTTTTAATTTTTAATTGAGAATTTATACTATGCCTTAATTTAAAGACCTGACAGGTTCATCTAGATAACCAACTAATCTTTAAAAAAATGCAGCTGCAAGGGTATTTTATGTTCGTTGAAACGCGAATAGCGGTTGTCTATCTTGTTTTTTCTTCGCATGAAAATCAAAGTTTATAGCTGAGCATATAAAAAATATCGTTGATTGATATCGCTTTGGCATTTGATGTAAGTGAAACGCGTGCAGCGCAAATTTCATTAAATTTTAGCAGTTGCCCGCATATTTTACAGATGCCATAATTAATAGCCATGTGGAGGCTTTTGATACATTGTAGAAAACTTGCCCGTTGGCGATATAATTACAAGCATATTTTACAGCACATGTGGAGATCGAAATGAGAAGTTTCTCTGCAGCTTTTAAATAGGCTTTGGCTAGGGTGTGTAAGCGGCTAGCGGCTTTTAGCTTTTAATTATATTCTTTTGATGTGCCTTCTTTGAACTTCTTTGTGATTTAGCAAATGCCTAAGAAATGACCAGGGCTAAATAGTTGATATGTTCATTAGAAAAAACGAGTGGGAAACTAGGGTAGCCAAAAAAAAAAACGTTAAAAATTTGAAAGCATTTATTTTCTGTTCCAAGTAAAATCATATGCAATGCTGTCTATTTTGTTTTTCGTTCTGCGTCTATATCTATTTTGAAATGAAACCTGTATTTATCACTATATACCCAACTGATTTCTCAGTATTTTCCCATTTATATGAACTATGTATGAAGTGAAAAATAAAGTATCAGTAAGTTATATCAGTCATATCATTTCCAGTATTTGGTAATCTGTCCTGATAACAAAAATAACACGTACGAGTCATTTGCCACTAACGGCACAGTTCACACTTTTAAGTCGAACAGAAATTGGTGCTATATCTAATGCAACCCATTTATAAACCCATAAACTTCGCACAACAGTAGCCAATTACAGAAACAGCTCTCTAACCACCGTAAAGCAACGCGCAATCTATTCCATTTCGCATTACGACGCACGTATCCACATCTAAGTTTTTTTTTTGGCTGCCTAATAAAACTGGAAAGTCTATCACCGCATGTTCTTCTTCGCATTTTGAGTTGCACTCGTGTCAGACAAAGCGTCAGCAATTCAAAACGAAATGGAAAATTATAGTGTGCGACCAGTTGGTATTTCAGTAGTTGGACTAAAAGCACGACGGATACAAACCACCGAATCGGACGAACACAGACACCACACATTATATGTGTGTGTCTCCGGAGTGACAGCGGCAGACAGAGCCAGGTAGATGGGTGCTTATGGCTTCCAACTGTAAACCGGTTCACGCGACTGCGCAGCGGCAGAGAACGGCCGGCAAGTCGGCTGCGCATGCGCCGGAAAACCTGTCCAACGATTTGCTCTGCCCCCAAGACAATGTAATGGAAGAGCATCGGCACACAACAACAGCCTCAATGGCGCATCAATTATGTTAATGAAGCTTTAAATGTATCTTGATATTGAAAAACTTGTACAGGTTTTTCACAAAAAAATAAAAAGTTATTTTGCCGGCTGGTGCAGCTTAGCCGGTTTTTCCTATGCTGCTGGCAGAAAACTTCAGTCTCAATAAAAAAAAAAATCTAAAGACCAATTTGCATATGGCGACCTTTGGCACTCACCAAATATCTCTCGAGCCGGGCCCACACCTTTCAGCCGTGTCATTTTCACAGCGATATTACACATTCTGTTTTTCTTGGCTAACGAGCTTTTGTTTATATTTCACGCTTTTGCCAGCAACGGGGACGGCTCTGACCCTGAGCTGATTTATCCAATAGTTTATGGCCGACACGTAACTGGCTTTCATGTAATGCATGTGCGCAATATTTCTTGGTGGCATTTTAAGTTGCCGTAAATGAGAGTATTTGTACAGATTTATCCTCAATCAGGCTGCACAAATTCCCCAATGTCATGTAAAATGTCAGAGCTACATACATTCTGATAAATATGAAAGTCGATTGCCTTAGAACTAAATGCATATCTTATTCCTCCATTTTCACTGTACGCTGCGGATTTGAATTTGTGTAGGGTTTATTGAATTACCTTAAGTATGGACTACACTAGAACTAATTTGAAGGTTTCCCTGATATGTTATCTTTTGTTATGTCGAGCTCATGAATGTTGCGCTTTACTTTACTTATTAACAGGTTTATAATACTAATATTTTTCCCAGAACGAAAATCAGCAAAGAGTATATATCTATATTATTTTTCATATTTAATTTTTGGTCAAGCTAAATTTGTATATATTTTTTTATGATTTTCTTCTTCCTTCTGTATTTCATTTTTCTCTGTTCTGGTCGGTTAACAGTAATAGAAATATTTTAATACGAGTAACAGCTGTTAGCATGATTATCTTGTCAAGTCTCTAGATCTTACAATTGACTATACCTATTGGCATTATAACCCAGCTATTGGTATTGAAATTTATATTTTTCGATAAATATAACTAAAGATTATAATTTCATTATAAATATTTTAAAATTGTCTATAAAATATTATTTGGTAATCATATTTTGCTTAATCCTTAATCCTTGTATAAACATAAACATTTCCAAAATTCTGTTCAAATAATTATCAAAAGTTATTTGCAGTATTTCAAAGCTGAAAGAGAGGATACCATATACATATATAACGTACATATTTATATATAAAATCATAAAGTTCAGCTTGGCATGCTTCGTAAAGTTGCACTTATAACCGCGGGGTTGCCTTGGAAAAGCCAATTGCTGGCATTTGGTTGCAACGAGGTTTACGATTATGATTACGATTATTATGCAATTTTTTATGCATTGCATTAAATGCAACGTTGAGCGCGGTGAGCTGGTGCTGAGGTTGCTATGCAAATATTGTGAGGAATATGCATTAAGGGTGGGTGGAGATTAGTGAGGGGTGGCTTAAGTTAAAGCATGGACAAAGTCGTCAATATTTAATACTATTCATAAAGCCAGGCAAAAAACATTAAACTATGTAAAATCGAAAAAGCAAATTCCAAACCAATATCCGTCAGCCAAAAATTATTAAAATATAATTAATATACTTTAAAAGTAATTTATAATTCTATAAGTTTTATGTGGGCTAAAAAAAAACAAACTACAACAAATATAAAGAAAAGTAGATATGAATATTGAAAATGCATCGATATATAATACCCAAATAATTTTCTAAACTTATGTCTATGCAAGACAGTAAAGTTGTGCTGCGAATAAGTTAAATTTTATAGATAACCGAAACCAAGTACTATCATGGATAGTATAGCCATAACCATGCCAAAGAAAACTATGGAACTATAGATCTTTTTGCATATGCGTATAGCCTACCATATCGGGCCTGAAGTAGACCTGTTGCGTATACATGGAACTTTTCAATGAGGACGTCTTATCCGGAAATAATATGCATTTGCCTGGCATTGTTCCTCTGCCTGAGCCAGCATTAATTGTTGATGTTGTTGTTGCTGTTGTTCTGGTTGTTGTGTTATTGTTTGCTGTCAGGTGATGATGGCCAACGCCCACGTCTGTTTTCTGTGCTGTCAAACTGCTCGTCGAGTTGACTTTTGAGGCGTGTGAGAGGCGTTTCATATGCGTCCACATCTGATGCCAGGGCGCCGCGTCTTTCTATATAGTTTTTTGTTTCGTTTTTTTTTTTTTTTTTTGGGGGGTTGTTGGGGTGTGGCGTACACGCAGGAAGAAGAGTGGTTTGTTTTTGTTGTTGTATAGTTTTTTGTTTGCGTGTGTATATGTAAGAGAGTGTAAAGGATTGTATTGAGTTTGTTTGTTGGGTGTACGAAAAAATAGAAATAAATACAATTTTATTTTAATTGAATGCGGCCAATTTTTCAGTATTCAAAAGTATAATTTTAGGTTATGTAAATTTTTTAAAACTTTACTTTAAATGAACAAATGCTATATAGAGTTTCAAATAGTAAATGGGTATATGTCATAAATTTTCTGACATAATATTTTGATATATTTAAAACTTATAATATTTGAAAATTTGCAAAATCACAAGTGCGAAAAATCACAAAGAGTTAAAAGCCGTTATAATGGCATATTTGTTTAGATCACCTTTCTAAAAGTATTTCAAGTTTTTTTTAAATCTTTTTGCTTAAATTATGGTATTTGAGAAGCTCTTTCTCTGTCACCCTCCCTCTCTAGTATATTGGGTATATATGTATGTTATATACATACTCTCTTTAGTTGCCAAGCTAGTGAACCCCAAACAACATTCAACTGCACGCAATTGGCACATGGCACACACTTAACACCCTAACACATACACACGAATCACACCCCCCAATGTACTCAGCGAGCCCCCCATGTCTCAGCTACTATGATGTCATGCACTCGACTCTTAACAATTCACAATCCATCTAACCAACACTAGCACGCGAACAATTTAAATTTCATTCGCATTTACTTAATGCTTTTATTTTTCTAGTAAGTACATACATATATAGCATGATGTCAACCTTATAGACTGAAACGCTGGCTAGAATATTGCATTTTTGTTTTAATTTTTTTTAATTTTTGAGATAACGGCAGCGTTGCGATAGACGCCGGAATTTTGATAAGGCAACTTTTGTGTAATTGCTAGAGCAATTTGCTTGATAGGGTTGACTAAATTGATTAACTGGAATATTTATGACGATTTCATGTTGAGGTAGTCAAGCTATTTTTGTGATGAATTTTAAATTTCTCCAAAACTGTGAATCATTGTTGATTGAAGACGAAAATGCAGATTGTTTGAAGAACAAATACAAAGTTTCGCCGCATGAGGTATTTAGTATTAATTAAATATATATATAATATTTACGGTGTCGAAATACTTGGAAATAATAGTTGATTTTATTAAGCTTGATATGGGAATAACAATAGGCGCGAATTTCGACTGACTAATTATTATTGATACATAAAAAAAGTATGTAGTACTATAAAGACATTTCTATTGATTTATTAATTTATTGTTAAGATTTCAGAGTACCTTAGTTTTGTTTCAAGTTGTCTTATGAATCCCAAAATGGTTTAAAAAAAAATATATTTCTAACAGAAAAGTTCGAAAAAATATTAAATTATGTTAAATTTTTTTCTTTCTAGAATTATATTTTGTTTAAACTAGTTGCTTGATACGCTCAACTTTCTATATATTTTATATTAATGCCTTATCTCAATATTATAAAATACAATTTTTGTTTTAATAATTGAAATTTATTTTAGTTTGACAAATTTCAAAATAAAACTTTCTACGTTTAAAACACCCTCAAAAAATAGTCGCTAATTAGCTTTATATTACTGTTTACTCAGTTCCCCTATCATGCAATAAATATATATCGTTTGTTGTGTGCCTATGGCTCTGGCCAAGGCTAAGCCCACAAAACATGCATATGCCACACACAAAGGCCCCAATCATAATATTCATAGCTCAAATTTACAAACCCCGGACCCAATGCGGTCAGCAATGCATTTAAAAGTCATGCCCTTGTCGCTAAATGGGTCTATGGTTTTGGGGTCTCTAACCGCGCTGTGCTCACGTAATACCACAGAGTTGGTGGCAGAGAGAAACGGTGTGAGAGTGAAAGAGTAAGACTGCAGGGGGCCTTTCTCCATACATTAGCGACGCAAAACGCTAAACAAATAAAAACGATTTCCGTTCGTCATGCAAACAGTTGTGCACCCCGCCGCCCTGCCTACGCCCTTTAGCCAAAAAAAAAGGGCAACACGCTGCCATTTGGCAAGTGCAACAGCAGCGGCGGCTGCAACAGCGGCAACAACAGCGGCATCGAACGGAAGCAATGAAAATGGGCACAACAATTGCCCCGGCTTTAGTACCCACACACATGGGTGTGTGTGTGTGTGTTTGTGTTGCCATGACCCACGCCGCCCTCTGCGCCGACTGCATTTATGTGCATGCATATAGCTCTTTTTTTCTTAATTCATAAACAATTCATTAAAACGGGAAATGGCAATTAAAGCATATGCATGATATGTCATTAAATTATATACAAGAGGACGCTGTGAGAGAGTGCCTGACTGTGTGATACTCTGTAGCAAGCCCCGAATTGCTGGAGAGAATGTCTGACTAGAAGTTACTCTGTGACAAGCCGCGAATTGGCCTATCATAACTTAAATATAACTTCAAAAATGTGTTTTTTTAACAGAACACTTGAAGATATATAAAAGTTAATTACAGTTGATATACACACGATATATACAGTTGATAAACTTTTAAATTGAAATCTAGACGCTTTCGTGCATGGCTATATTGATTCAGCTCATCGTTCCGATACATATGTGCCTGCCTTTGTCTGTTGGATGCATTTGCACAAGTTTAATATACCCTTTACACATTTTAAATGAGTATAATATATACAGGGCATGCACAACATGTGGAAGAAGGAAGTTTGCCATGCGAGGCTGTACTGAAGGAGGTCAGTTCCCAGTTCGCATATTAAAGATATTAAATATTTATTAAAGTCGCGCCCCCCCACAAAGATAGCAGGTTGCTGTTTAGCTATAATGCGATGTGAATCAAATGCTAACCGAGTTACTCACGCATTCACTCACACGCACACTTACTACCACACTCACTCGTACACTCACTCTCGCACTCACACAATAAGCGCTGATTGCAATGCAACTGATGAGGGGGCCACGTCTCGAGCTGCATCTTTCCATGATTTTACTTTAGTTTCGTCTTGTCTTATTTTTTATGCTATGGCTCGTTTAATGCAAGGCGGGCGGGGGTTGAGGGGATTGCATGCGCAAGTGCAGGGCGCTTAACTCAATTGCATGTATGCAACAATTCGTTGCAGCTTCGCACTGTGAGCAACAACAAACTAGATACAAACAACAACAACAGCATTTGGCATGCAACATGTTGATGTAATATGCAAATTTGATGCTGTGCGCCCCATTGTTTCGAGTTTTTCCGTAGAAATTTGCTAACGTCGAAGTCGTAGTCAACGCTGGCTTGTTTAAGGCGCAAGAGGAAGCTGCTGCAAGCTGACAGTTGCAAGGGACAGAGAAAATCTTGAAAATATATATATATATGGGTAGCCAATATAAAGCGTATGTTTACTTGAAAATTCAGTTATATATAATATAAAATACAAACATATTTTATTTTTATTTTATATAATAAATTTGATTCAAGTTTCCCTGCGTACTTTGCTCAATTATTAAAGTAAGCAATAGAAAAATTATTTTATAGTTTATGAGATTTTTTTTGTTTTTACAGGAGAAAAAACTTTTAAAATCAAAAAAATATGCTAAGAAAATTGTTAAAAAATATACTTCGCTAAAAAAATTAATTATTAAAGAACGTAAATTTAATTTTTAGCCTTTTCATTAAGGTTTTATAAAAATCCTTCAAATAAGAAACGCAGCAAAAATAAAATTCATTAAGCTTGGCGTACGCCTTAAAAGGCTTTTAAATCTTGTAAGGAAATGAGGTTTAGAAGGTTATCTGCTAATTTATTTGGATAAACATATTTAATTTTCGAAAGATAAAATAAAATCTGCCTCTATTTCATTCGAAATACCAAATATACATATAGTATGTGCGCTTTTTTCGTAAAATGACCGCACATGATCTCTCTTATTTTTGAGGTCAGCCCTTTCACACTTTACTTGCCACACTTGGCGGCACTTGGCAACCCACTCTTTATCAATTTCACCCAATTTACATGTTGCCATATAAAAATTAACACACTGCTCTACATAAGAACTGCTGCCCACCAAATGCAATCTATCAAAGTGCATTAAAAATAAAACTCGCCCCTCTGCTACAGCTGGGTGCACGTTTCGGTTTTGTTTTTATGGGTCAAAGTGGCCGGTCCGCTTAATTGTGATATATCACTTCACTCCGAGAGCAACAGCATTAAGATATAATAAAAAAAAAGTACAGCGGGTAGCGAAGTTCAAAAGCTGCGCCGAATATCGTGTTAAGATATACAAAAGTTCAATTAAAGTTTTAGCAAATATTTGCAGGAATGGAAAATATTTTTCGGGAAAGCAACATGATAATTTGCTATACTCTGTGAAATTGAACAATTTTTTGACTTTCTTGAATTCATGGAATATAGAATGGAAAAATTACAAAGTGTAACCAATATAATCTTTTAAAAGTTCTGATAACATCAAGAAAGCATAAAAATCTTATTCAGAATTTAGTAATATTAGTTTTACTAAAAACGCCTTTACGCATAAAAAAAGGCAAGTAAATTTATGAATTAAGATTTAAACAAATCAAATTAAATTTTATATCATATGGGGAGTCATTTAATTATAGGGTTTCCAAAAAAATATTCATTTAAATTCGTAAATAATGTTTTACAGCAAGGGAATTATTTTATTTAAAAAAAAGATTTAATCAAATTTAAATATTTTTAATTATACCAATTTATTTATATTAGCATAATGTAGGAACAATTAAAATCGTATGTCCCTTTCTTAAATATCTGATTTCTTTGTCGATTTCAGCCCTTTTCTCATGCACTTATCTCTTCTCAGAATTTCAGCGTTAAAGCTTTTGGAAATTTGTTTGCAACCCAACAATTTTTTGTCTGTTTCTGTGGCAATTTTTATCCCACATTTTCAATGTAGTTGCTTTTTCAGTT